TTTCTACACATCTAATCTTGCCCTCTTTGCACCTCCACAGCATCCCACGTCTCACACCAGAACCTCTTCCAGCCAGCTCCTATCACCTGGGCTGAGATGACCAAGTTTCTCCTCCAGAACTAACCTATAGGTCATCTGAAGGTGAAAAGTGGCCTTTTTGCTGTCCAGCCCCTGACTATTCCCCACACACGTTACTGATTGCTGCAATAGGGCACATGGTCGCAGGCTGGAGAGGGAGTGATGCCAAATTGAGGTTAAAAACAGGGGAAAAGAGTCCTGGGACTGGGGCTGAAATGGCTGTGAAGGGCTCTGCAGCAATCCTAGCTCTGCTGCCAGCACCTCCTGCCATGCTGCCTAGCAAGCAGACAGAAAGCAAGGGTAAAAAATCCCACCACCACCTTCCTCAGCCTCTCGCCAGCCTGTTAACAAACATATTAAATAGCCCTGGGGTGTCAGAGCCTGCAGCAGCCCTGGGCAGGCTTTCCCCAGTCTGAGCACTGGCCACTTAATCTTGTTCTTGGGATCCTCATCAGCTTTTGCCTCTCCCCACAGGGCTACTTGATTTCCTATAGCAATCTCTCATGCAAGGTATAAACCTCGTTTAGACACTGTTTCTGTTTCCAAGGGAGGGAAGATAACATTTCATTCAGGCCAGGTTCCCTCCTGCTCACGTAACCCTCAGGCAGCTCAGGTGCTCAGCAAGTATCGATGGCTGGACTGAGACTACGCAGAGATGCTGCAGCTGCCAAGCCCCGCTGGGGGGGTCCCTGCTCCACCTCCCTGGGGACATCTCGGGAGAAACCCAGTCTGGGAGACATTACCCGCCTGGTCCTGCAGTTGGGGGCTCTGCTACCCTCAGGACCCGCCCGCAGACCCTGTGTCAGGCAGGGCTTGTGGTGCTGCTGCCCTCACCTGCTCAGGCAGCACGGCCGTCTCCTGAGCTGTCTGTCCATCCTGGGACATCTCCACGGGCTCACTGCTTACTCCTGCTCTTCCCCCAGTTGCCTCCTCCAGTGTAACTTCACGTGAACCATCCATCCTCACCTCCACCCTCCTTCCGGGGAGCTGGGGCGTGGACATGCTCTGAAATACTCCTCCTCACCCCAGGGTCTGGCTGCACAATGACCTGGAATTCAACACAGCCAGAAGAAAGGGCACCTGTGAAGCTGGGAAACTGGTCCTGGAGACCCTTTTCAGCTCCAGTAACACTCCAGCTGAGCACAAGCAAGCCCAGCATAGCCCCAGTTACTCCAGCTGCGATCAGGCTCCCTCCCCATCTGCCTGAACGCCGTGCCAGGCACGGACATTTCCCCTCAGATGGGGTTTTGTCACTGTCCCTGTAAGCATCAAGGCTACACCTGGGCAGCAGCTGGTTCATCTCCAGCTTCACGGGTCTGGAGTTGAGCCAACAACAAAACCCCCATGCATGGAAAGCTTTCACGGGAGTGGGGAGGGGGGCTCAGGAAAAACCCTCCCTCTGGCAGGGAGAGGGCTGCTTGGGGACAGCCGTGGCCCCACAGGTCTCACCAGGGTCACTACAAAGCCATTCCCAAGCCCCCTCCAGGTCTCGGTGCCTCCCCAAATGTCCCATCCCCCCGCTGCCCCGAGGCACCCTCATAGGGACCCCACAGCTCACCCTCACACCGGTCCCCGCTTCTGTTTGCATCCAACTGCCGTTCCCAGGCAACGGCTGCACCGGCTGCACCACGGCCACCGTCAGCGACAGCCTGGAAAGCGCCGGGAGAGAGAGGGGCTGTATGGGGAGAGAAGGGGGGACCCTCCTCATCCCCACCACTGCCATGCATGGAGAGACCCCCTGCCCAAAGCAGGAACCTGGTGGCATGGGAGGCTGTTCGTCCCTTCGCCCTGCCCAAGGCCAAATGCTGCTCGTGGTTGTGACAAAGCCCCTCTTGGCATCGCCAGACCCTGTTGGGACCAAACCCTCACCCTGCCTGGGGAATGGGACAAGGGATCTTTACCCAATGCCCCCCCGCCCCGGGGAGGTTGTAGGCAGCTTCTGCTCTCTTGGCACCCCTGAGCAGGGCAAGCAGAGTGAAAGCAGGAAAAAATCAGCCTCCAACCCCTGCCAGGTCCCCCCCAACGTCCCCAACTCTCTGCCAGGATGGCAGTCACATGGGGGACCCCGTTCCCAGGGATCACTCCAAGCTATCTCCTCCACCACCACCGATAATCAGCTCTAAGCACTCCCAACTGTTGACTTCAGCCTTGCTGTTAAGCTCAAATAATAATTTCTAAATCTAATTTGTTTTTCCTTCTGCCCAGCAAGAGCTCGTACCCTGCTGGGAGAGGAAAGGAGTTTTGTTATCAGCTCACATTATCTCCTCGAACTGAAGAGGCTGTGGCGCAGAGGCAGGACGTCAAAACGCGGCTGCTCTCAATTCCTCCGCTGTGGCACAACCCGCTGCTTCAAATCGGGGGAGTTTTATGGCCTCGGGAGAAGGGATTTGGTCCTTAAGCTCATCTCTGCAAGGTGCAAGGCAGCAGCCTTCTTCAGTGCATCAAGCTTGTTCGGACATTGTGCTTTTCTTCCCACCTGGCAGCATCCAGTCCATGTTCCCTGATCATACAGGATACAGGGAGTCACCTCTGCTCTCCAGCATGAAAACCCTGTTTATTCCAACTGAGAGCAGCTCCTCTCCTGCTCTGGTCCTACGGCAGAGGTTTGAGGGCGGCGTAAGGAAGCAGCTCAATCCCTACCCTACCCCCAGCAGGTTTTGCAACGTCATCTGTGTTGACTACCCTTGCTGGGATTGTTCAACCCGTTCTAGTCAGGACACCCAACCGGAGGGGCTGGGCACACGGGGGTTAGGACACAGGGTTAGGGGACGCACTTCTACGAAAGCCTCGCAGAGCTGAGTGCCCTCTGATGTGTTCAGACACTCTCCAAGGTGAAAGGGAACTGAGCTCCCCCAGAGCAAGAATTAATGTGGCTGACGGGGCTGGGCTGACCCCCTAACCCCATTTCAGGAGTGGTACAGAAACCTGGGGTTTTCTAGGTCATTTCATCCCGGGAGGCACAAACACAGAGGCCTGGAAGGATGCGTCCCGTGAGTTTTTGTTCTCCTGGACCAGTATCTAGACCCAGATTCATCTGCAACTCAGGTGGAAGCTAGCCACAGCTGGGATACCTAGACACGTTTCCCAAGTACACATGGCCAAGGACAACCCCTCAACAGTCCGACCTTTCAGCAGCCAATTGAGACCCAGTTTATCCACAGACTTACACCCACATTCTGTTTTATAAGAACAAAAGAGGGGCAGCTTGCAGACATGGGTACAGTCACACATCCAAAAACTGGACCAGCAACTACAAATACTCCCTGCCTTTTGCAAAAAAACAAGGCTCCCAAACCCAACACGTGCATTTAACAGTTCTTGTTCTACACAAGCCTATAGACACCGTGGTCTCACGCACAGACTGAGCCTTCCTCCAGAACACCCCCACACGGGTACGTACCTTGTAACTAGAGAGCAACATCCCACTGCTTTCCAGTGGGATTTCACAGGGGATTTAGGAGATGCAGTGGCCTTTGGGGGTCATAGCGCCTGGTGAAGGTCAGCAGGGCAGGCTTAGCCTCAGAACCGCTTTGGTAAAGCGAGGCAAGATGCACATGCAACAGAGGGTCCCAAAACACCTCCCATCCTCAGTTATTCTTCAAGAAAAGAGATGGAGCAAAACAGTGCCATGTTTCAGCCTTTTTAAAACTACTTGAAAGAGCAGGGAGAGACTGTGTTTGATGGGGATTAGCTGGATACAATCTTATCCAAGGAACACTGCCAGGGGCTGCTGTGGCAACGCTCCCTCCTGTGAAGCCTGCAGGAATCGCTGAGCGAAGAGCTTTGCTTTGAAGCTTTACTGTTTCAGTGAGAACCTGCTCTGCTGGACTGTATGCTGAAACACAAACGCTTGAAATACCAGAAGAGTAAACCTACCCAATTTAACAGAGTCCTGGGTGAGCAATTTAAAAGTCTGAGGTTTAGTCCACTTTTTTGGGTCTGGTTCATAACAATTACAACAAAATTGCTCACTAGGTTTGATGTGTTACTTGTGCTACAACCTGTTTATGAAGCGCTAACAAAAGACTTGCGCCTTACCTGGGCTTTGGCTCTGGAACATCAGGGGGGGTCTGTGCAGATCTGCACTTAACCCACCCAGCTTGGCCCACAGTTACTGCCCAAAATAATGACTTCAACCAGAAGGGAGTGGCATTGCTCAGTTTTATTGTTTTGGGAGAATATTCTGAAGTTCAGCTGGAAACAAGCTTAAAACAAACCAATCATCCCTGAAATGCCCTTGAAGAGTTTACAGATGCTAAAACCAACTACCACAAATAAACAAATTAAAAAAAAAAAATAAACAGGAAAAAAAAAAAGAGAGAAAACTCAGATTAGGAGTACTTTTGTCATGGCTATACAAACTACTAAAAGTAATCAAAATAGAATTATAACCCCTATTCCTTACCTCATTAACTTAAATTCCCAAAATTCATCATGTTTAGTGACACAAAAGTTGTGGTAACACCAGGAAGAGAAAGCATCAAACTTGTGTATTTCTTGACTGTCATCTGCTATCACAGACACCAAAAAGTGCTCCAGGATTTTCTAGCACAATATGTTCAGTAAGAAATTTTACAGCGGAAAAAAAAAGGAATGCTTTGTTAGCACCAAGTAAGGGCATTTCGTGCTCTTTAGAGCCTGTCTCAATGAAGTTTGGGTCTCTCTATACCCTCACTCCAAACTGACACTGATGAGAAGCCACACCTCGCCACTCTGCACGCCACTCCTGATGAACCCGTGCATTCCGAATTGCAGCCAGACCCTGCTCTATCACCACCTCTTCAGACTCCACGAGTCTGGCACCAAGAGGTCACAGCCTCCGAAACGTTTGTTTCAGCAAAAACATGTCGGGAAGTTTTCAAACCAGATCAGAGTCCAGAAAGCAGGCACAAACTTCAGTTTTATTGTTCTCCAAGCAATGGTCATCTTTGCAAGGGAATGATGTTGCAGCTGAAAAAGAAGAGGGCAGAAGGAAACATTAAAGTCTCAGTTCTCCAACAGGCACAGAACATCTCACCCGAGATGAACCAGACCCACCCCAACCCTCCTCCACTGGTTTCTTCTACCGCACAAACTGGCTGCTGAGACCTCCCTCCCTGCGCTCGTGTTCGATACCACTCGCCTCCCCACAATCGCTGTGCAAAACCATCAGCCCCCGGTGCCCAGCTGGTGCCCGCCAGAGTGGGCGGCCACACCCCCCCGAGCAAGGCACGGCGCTGGCCCTGCTGCAGGAAACACGCCCCGAGCTGGGCGAAAGGCTCCTCCGCTCTGGGAGGCGCCACAGCAGCTCACCCCAGGAGGCCCTTCCCGGCCCACCGCTTCGGCGTCAGCCCCACGTGCACTTTTTTGCCGCTGCGGATCACGGTCACGCTCAGGGGTCTCTGAAAGGGAGGTAAGAAAAGAAAAAGAAAAAGGTGGCAGCTTTCCATCACCAAGCCAACTCCTCTTCCTCCTTTTGCAGAAGCACCAGAAGAACACTGGGCCAGAGGAGTTGCTCTTCAGCAGCACTCATTCCTATGCCCGCAGCCAGGTCTGAGAGGAGAGCGGAGACAGCTCCAGGGGATCTCTCGCTTCCACTATAAAGCACTTGGTGGCCGTGGCAGCTTCTCTGGCCGGACCGCGAGGGTGGCACAGCAATGCAGCCTGCTGCTGCACGAGTCCCCAGGGGAGAACAGACAATATGACGCTCACAGCACAGAGCAGACACCTCTCGGCTCTCTTCTATCCAGCTGGAATTAGCTCAACACTGTGAGAGAACAAGGCTGCAACAGCACAGACTGAATCTGACACTTTCTGACATGGAAATGATGATCCCAGAGATCCAAGCTCCACAGAAAAAGCTGTGGCTAACAGAGACAGGCAAGAGAACGCAGTTACAGCAGAAATGAGCTCACCCCTTCGCTGTGCTGCACCACCGTGGCGATGTTCTGGAGGTTCTGGAAGTTGTTTATGTTGACAGAACCAAACTCCACAATCTCATCATCAACCTGAAGCCCCTGGAAAGAGACAGAAGAGCGATGAGCACCTGCCTTCTCCCAAGACAGGTAATATCACAGGAGCATCGCCCTTCACCCAGCCACACAGGGAGAGAGGTGCTAGGACGCCACTCTGCTCACCACTTGGGCACCTGAAGGACACTACACCCTCTCCGTGTCCTTCGAAAGGAGCAAGTACTCATTCCTCTGCCCTGTTTTATGGGAAGGGAAGTGCTGAGGCTAGAACGGTCAGTGAGGCCTGGTATGAGCTGTGTGGTGCAACGATACAGCCAAGAAGAGAGAACTCATCTCATCCCCATACAGTGACCAGTTTACTCATGGGACATCCCAGTGTGACCAGAAAAAAAAAAAAAGGCAGGGGGACACCCCTAATCAAACCCCCCCACTTATTCCCACTTATTAATAAGAGTCACAGAAAGCCACCAGCTTTCCTCACTGGGTCTGGGACAAGCCTTCCCCAAGAGCCACCAGCCCCCACCAACGTACAGAGACGCTCGCGGGAGAGCCCGGCGTGACGGCGTTCACTTTGGCAAAAGCCTGCGGCAGGCTCTGGTGCTGGCTCAGCGCCTCGGCCAACGCCTCCGCCTCGTCCTTGGCGTGCTTCTCCTTCTCCCGGGCGTGCAACTGGTGCAGAGCTTCCTCCACCTGCTTCATCAGGGCCTTGTGGTCGTTCTGCAAACCTGTGGGAGACACCGTTAGCACACAGGGAGCAGGAGCGAGTCACATCCAAGGGTTCTTTGTCAGCAGGAGATGGTACACGGCGTCTCTCGGATCCTGGCTGCGGCTGGCAATAACTTCTGGTGGATCTGCTGAGTCCTGGTGCCAGCCCTGCTCACGCAGCCCAGCAGATGTTTATCAGGAGTTGTCAGACACAGAGAAAACCACCCTACAAATTTCACTGAACATGCAAGGAAGGAGGGCTCGGAGGCCCACGATCACCCAGAAATCCCTGAGCAGCTGAACTCTTTTTTTTTTTTCCTCTCAAGTCACATACTGTCACGCCACAGAGTAAACGCCACCCCCAAAGTCAGGGCACGGGGCAAGCCTGGGAAGAAATAAACGCCAAGCTATTCTTTACCCAGAGCTTATTCTACAGACACCACTAAACCGCTTCGCTGCATTTCACAAGTCCCAAACGGCTCCGCAGCAGAAGCCGAACTCCAGCGTCACTCCAACGCCATGCGGACAAAAGCGTTTCACTGACGAGGCCGATCCCCATCGCCTACGAGCGCTGAGCAAAATAGTTGAGAAACAAACTCCGAGCAACCCTGGTGTCCAGTTTTGGAAGCAGTTTTGGAAGCACTGCAGCGCACAGGCCGAGCCACACGATGCTCGGGACACTCACACGGCTGCAGAGGAAAAAAATTATTTCCCGCAGCGGCACCAGCCTGTTTGTCCCCCGCACGACCCCTTTGTGCCGGCTCACCCCCGCGGGAGCGGAGCGAACCCCCGCCCGCCGCCGAGCCCCACTCACAGATGATGTTGTGCCGGGCGGTGCGCACTTGGTAAAGGTCGATGTCATCGCGGGGAAACCCCTCCGCGTCCACCAGCGGCTCGTTCATCCCGACGCCCTTTTGCTGCGAGAGAAGAGGCGGCCGTGAGGCGGCGGGGCCGCAGGACAGGACAGGCCAGGCCAGGCCGGGCCGGGCCGGGCC